TTATTGCGCAGTATATTTAAAATTTGGTAGATTTGATTGGTCACTGACTAATTAGCCAATCACATGAATGTTCTACCGGAAATCTCTATTACCATAAATGGTGTGATCGACATCGTCAATTTTTGGTAATATCCCTGACTGTATTGTATATGGCCATTTACTTTTTTTTTTCTATTTTTTACGTTACACCCTGATCTTAAAATGATTACGATTGGTCAAAATTACAGGGAACAATTTAAGCTTCGCGATGTTATGAAGATCTGAATATCTGACAAAATATCAGATATTTATCTGTACGCGTAAAAAATTCGTTTAACACAAAAGTTCGTCAATATAACGTCTTTACAAGGCAAGAGTATTATCTTATTTTATATTATCAGTCGCGCGCATCCCTACTGGCGTGTGGCCATTACGTCCTGCGTTAGATGTTTGGTGCTAGTCTCCAGGGAAGTACTTAAGTACACACCTAAGGCCTGATCCCTGCATGCTAGTATCCAGGATGTGTGTATACCTACTGGCGTATGGCCATTATGTCCTGCGTCAGATGCTTGGGGACAAGCCTCCAGGGAAGTACTTGAGTGAAAGTACTCGAGGCTGATCTCTGCATGCTGTTTCCAGTATACCGTTGACTGTGTGCTTCTTCGATTATTAGTTATATTGGTTAACAACTTATACTTCTTTTTCCTTTCTTTTCAAGATGTTCGAGTTTATTGTAACAGAATATCTTAACAATACAAAATACAAGTATTGGTCAATTATCTCAATCTTAAAGTACACAAAATCAAAATGTCAATTATATACCGATTCAATTGACAATCTTAAAGAGGATATATACACAGCTTTACGTAAATATAAAGAAAACCCAGACAATCACATGAACGTAACCAACAAACTGGATAAGATTCTATCTAATTTTGAGAAATTATTTTCTACGGCCGAAGTAAAAGAATTTGTCGACAAAATTCGAGAGGAACAAGAAGAACGTGGATTTGAAACAGCTCTTCAAATAAATGTGGCATCTGCCTGTGCAATTAAAGCCTTAAAGGTAAAATTGAAATAGTAACAGAAATAAATTCTACAATGGTCTAAATTACAATTATTAGGGCTATCGCATGAATCAAACAGTTGTTAATGAATTAAAAAATAACAAATGCGAGGTTGGTAAATTTATGGTTGTGGCCAAATTTATAACTGTGGACTGATTTATTAATCAGATTTCATTTTTTATGGCATCTTTTAGGAAGGACCTTCAAAAACGAAATCCATGAAAAGAAAAAATAATCTAAACGAGGAAGATGCGAGCTCAGAGATAGAGAATAGTTCAGAATATGATGAAAGACCAAATAAAGTAAGAGATAAAGGCACTTTTCAGTTTCTTTAAAAAATTAATAATCAATATTCTTTTTCAATTGAGATTAAAAAACAGGCTACAAATGACATTGAAGAAGTCATTAGTAGTAGCGGTGCAAGTGATAAATTAAATGAAGAATCCTTTGATAGTGGCGTAAGTTAATATCAGATTTAATTTTTATAATTTATTTTATTTTATCTAAGAAATGTTGTTTTTGTCAGTATAAAACGCCTCCTACTGGTCCACGAAATATAACTGTGATGACCACCCCTCAAAAACCTACCCTTTTCGTGGATTCTGTGAACTATATGGTCAATCACTTCACAGTAAATATTAATTTGCAATGCGTCATAATGAAAGAAAAGCAAGCTGATACAATTCCAAAATCAGTTCGTGATTGGATTATAAATGTATTGTCTGTAAGTTAATATAAATATTATTTCTGGATATAAAATAAATATTAAAAAGACTTCTATTAGTCCGGAAAGGATGTATTCAAAAGTTCTATCATAACTTCGCTAATTCCTGATCACAAATTCCGAAAGATCTGTGAAATTATTCTTTATGACTTGTAGGTATTATTCAGGATTTTAAGACAACTTTGGCAAAATAGGTTAATTTATACTCTTTCAACTTAGTTTTTCAATGGCTAGCAAAAATCCATTAAACCGCTATATTGGAGAACGAAAGTATACAGTAGAAAGAATTGTACCATTGTTCAAGGCGATACAATCTGTCTATAAAGAATTTATGTTCGATTGGATTGAAGTACAACTTAATTGCATCAAGGATATGAAAACATTGTTTCCAAATTTTGATATGACGCTTAATAAAGCAGATGGTGTTTGTCTGAAGGTTTCAAGTAATAAGGAAGTAGTATTCAGGAGGTCCAGAAGTTACTAGCGCGGTAGTAAAACATGCCAAAGAAGATACCGAAAAGCTAATCAAGGAAGCGATGTTTGGATTGGTCTCTCTTTTGAGAGATTATTTAGACAAGAATGTAGACAAAGCAATGAAAATATGCACATACATGGTGCAAGTCATTGGTAATACATTTACTAAATATGTATCGATTCTTTTTTGAAAAGCATAAGTTCATATCAGTAATTTATGTCAGGCGATCGAATTACTCTAAGCGAACTTTGTCTGAATAAGAAGCATTCGTATATGGTTTCGCAAGTTAAATCAGCAATGTTACCATTTTCATTTGACGAAATCGAAAAGTTCTTAGAGTACTTCATGCTCTAATTGTAAGTATTTTTTACATATGCCAATTAGATTTTTTTTCTTGAGGGTTTTAGTATAACATCTACATTTGGTTGTTAGAATAGGCTTGAAGAACAAATAAATGAGCTAAAGAAGCTAATGCTTTCCAATATTATTGAAGAAGAACCAACAATTCGAGACTGGATTTGGGTCCCGAATTCAATTACGGAATGGGAAGTTATAAATATAAATGATATTTTGTTTATTTACAAGTTAAAGCTTTAGAAATAAGATAATATTTTTTTGAGCATGTTAATTTGTAATAAAAAAATAAAAATCAGGTTCATAATGATCTATGTATACTTTGAAATTTAGATAACTTTGAAAATAAATTGTATTTATAATTCCAGTTTTCATCGCACATTGCTTGATCTTGAAGTAAAAAAGTCACATATGCGTATGTGCGTGACAAATTGTCACGCCGATCACTTTGTCAGAAAATTATTAAATACGATTATCGGCCACCAGGGCCAGTTTATTGATACAACAAAAAGTAAAATAAAATACTGTAAGTTATACATAACAATAAGCCTTGTAAGGTGGACAGATAAATTTTACATGTGGAATTTATTCCAATACATGTTAATGAATACCTCTGTTACAGACAAATTATCGCTAATTTGGATTTATTATTTAATTTCATATTTATTTATTATTCGAGAATTTTCACATTCACATTGTCTATATATTCCGTCCGCCACTTTTTTACACGTTTTACAATATAGGTGTGAATGATGGTTGCATTCGTCACAAACCTTACACCCGTGCTTCCACCCTTTAAAGATATGCCACTTTTCGATATAATTTTGTTTATCTTTACGTATGAATATGTTATTCTGATCTTTCATTGTTATATGTTAACAGAAAATAATATACGTGTTATAAATTTATCTGTAATATGTAACACTTTGTGCTTACAAATAAGTTATGCATAACGATAAGCCCTGCGAAATGATACAGATAAATTTCATATGCGGAATTTATTCTAACACGTTAATGAATATTTTTGTACATGCTCAAATTATCGAAAAAAACTTTATTATTTACGCCTGAAGAGGTGTGACATCCGTTGTCACAGTGGCGCAGTAATTTATTTTTTATCGGATGATCCTTTTAAAACTTTTGCTATTACATAATCAATATCGTCTAGACTTAGACTTGAAATATTTGATACAAAAAAAGATTTAATTTGATCTATCATATTTTCACCACCAATACTATTAAAAAGTCTGAAAACTTTTTTAGCCCTTTCCTTTCTTTTTCAAAGGTTAGTCTTAGTAATTTTATCTTGATTAGGAATATGCTCTCTGATTTTATCATTTACTAAAGCATTAGACGCGTCCTCATTATTAGATTACCTGTAAAAATCATACCATAAATTATATCCTTTTCCGAAATAATAGTATGAACGTATTACGTCTTGATTGGTTTTTTGATTATTATCTTCAGCTTTGATAATCTTTTCATTTAATTCATGAAAATTAACTGAATCTATGTTCATTTCAGAAATATCTGACTGCAAAATAATAATGTTTTCTGATGAAATTTGCCTGGCAATTGGAGTAGTCAATTCTTTAATTAACTTTTTTAAAGTTGGTGAACTATCCCTATTAACTGGCTTAATTTTTTTACTAGAGAATTTTTCTGTAGAATCACTACCCCGCTTTTTACTACTAAGATTGAGAGAATTAATTGGTGTTTCTAATGATATTATAGGCTCAATGACCTTATCACAACTAGGACATTTATTTTCTTTCGTAAGTAAAAATTTCTCAACACAATATCTGTGGTATACATGACCACATGAGAGGATTGTCAATGGTTTGTAGTTGTGTATAAGAATTTTTTTATCACATTCTGAGCATGTATCAAGCTCCGTAAATTCTTTATCTCGGATGATTTCACCATCAAGATTTTTTAAAATACTATATGCAAAGGTTCGAAGGTCAGAAAGAGGCATTACAACAAGTAGACCCAGATAAGCTTTACAACCAAAATTTCTTTATACTTAGCTCATTCTTATATAATATCTACTTCGTACTAACAAAACCAATTTCGGATTTGTCGATTAGTCCATTTATAAATTATTTTATATAATGAACTGGGTATAGATAAAAAATAAAATGAATTAGTTTCTTTTATTATAGTAACTAATTTATTACACATAATATATTACTAGAGCTAATATGACTAATATATTAAAAAAACTGACATTCATTCATAAAAAAATAGATTCGAATCTACAAGTTAGACATAATTGCATTTTGGTATCAGATACTAGTGACTTATATGACATATTTTGAATGCATTCATATACTTTGCTTGACATATTGAGAATCTAAGTCACTCATTACATTATTAGAAGAAGCAAAGGTTCGAGTCTCAGACTTATTTAAATAGTATTTCTTTATACGCTTTTTTGAATAATATTTCTTTATATACTTTCTTGAATAGTATTTCTTTATACGCTTTCTTGAATATTTATCTATGTTATTA